TAGTAAGTATACCCTCATTGATACTCATATTGTCGTGAATTAACCATCTTTCCGATGCAATAGGATGTAAGCCCATCGTTATTAGGTGAAATTCTTGGTCTCTGAACCGATTGGCTTGTGCTACTCTTCCCATAGGAAGTAAGTTGGTTATCAATTGGATGTATTTACTCAGTCTGATCCTCGATCCTCTTTCAGTATGTGAGTATAATATTATAAAGTGTAGAATTGGCACGTCATAACGTTACATCTACGGCTATGTACCCTTAGGAAGTGGGCACCTCGTCATGAGTAGGCAGTCTATAGAATCTGACCTCCTTCTGTGTTCGGCACCCTCATAGCTGGTAATTATACCGTATATGGTGACCGGAGTCATAGAAATTCACACTGACTCCATATTTTCCTCTTCATAGGACGTGAGTGTGCCTTTGAAATGGTAGATTCTTACCTGAACTGCTCGTTGATGCTCCATAGCTGGTTCGTAATCCACTTTTCGTGATAGACCAATAGTTCTTACTAATTTACTGTTCTTCTTTCCTTCAGGATGTAAGTTTGTCGTCTATAGCGGCTAATAACCTCTGACCACCCTTTCAAATCCTCATAGCTGGTGAATCCTATTCTTGATAACCATCATCATAATTTCTCACTTTGTTTACCTTTTCGCTCCTAGGATGTAATTATATGGTTCTCTATCGCCGGATTGGCGGACGCTGATCATCAATTCATACCGTTTGTCCTCTTGTAGTATGTGAGTATGTCAGATTTGGTGGTCGAACGAGTTCTAATTCTTGTTTCCCGTTCTCCCTAGTTTGTAAGTCCTTTGGCGTGTATGTTTGGAATGACAGATGTTGATGATTGCCATATCTACCCTTAGTTGGTATGTATAAATTAATTGATCATTAGTGATCGATTCTAACTCGGTTTGGTTCCTCTAATAGGATGTAAGCGCGTGGTCTTTCACAATGGACGACTCTCACCTCAACTCCCATGTTTCTCATAGAAAGTAAGAATATCATACTTATGACTCATTTGGCATATAATTAAACCATGCATTCTCTATAGTTGGTCAGTGTTCCATTGCAGAGGTCGTGTCAGCAGATCCTAAATAGAACGGACGCCTAAATCCTCTAGGAAGTAAGTTTACGGTCAGACATTGCCGAATTGTCTCAATTTAGTGCTCAATTGGTGTTGTTCTCCTTATAGACAGTAAGTGCTCCTAACTCAGTGGCACACTAAATACTGAACCTAGCCTTTACCTTTCCTGTAGAAAGTATGTCGGCATTGATAACGGGATTAAAGTTCTGAACAGCAGTTCACATTGCATAGGATGTATGTATATTCGTTGATGGCTGAAAATCTCCACATTCTGATGCATGCTTTCCGTTCTTTCCGAAGGATGTGAGTATACTGCGTTTGACGACTGAAATCTGGGGAGCTACATTCCTTACTGGGTATTTCCTCCCTTTTAGAAAGTAGGTGCACTATTTATGACAATTTTATTCCCATTGTGATGATTCTTCTCTGTAGTCAGTATGTCATTGTCAGCAGTGGGATCGGCAAACACTAATGCACGATCGTCCCGTATTTCTTCGTCACAGGAAGTCAGTATCTCCTCTCTGGTGATCGTGTATCGTTGCAAGCTTAAGCCTTCTGATGTCCCTTTTCCAGCTGGTCTGTATTCAATTCTGGTCGTGGTGGCGTATTCTTATTCCTCCGTGTTCTCCCCTCTCTAGTTGGTGAGTAAGCAAATATTAATCCTATGAGTGTAATCTGACTTCTAATACGTAATCCCCTCTTCATAGTTGGTGAGTCCATCATTATTCGTAGTGTAACCGCCGGAATTTGGATCTCACCTTGCAACTTCTGCCTTTAGAGAGTACGTGTGCATTGAAGATCCTGGAACAGGAATATTTTTGACCCGAGTTCACACCTTTCCTCCTAGTATGTGAGTGCACTGGGCCTTAAGGTGGTTTCCTGATGTTGATATCTAACTTTTCATCACAGACGGTGTGTTTAGTATATCTTCATGCACTCTTGTCCATCTCTACTCACTCTTATTTCCAATTTGCTTCACGTAGACGGTACGCGTCCTTTACACCTCGGTTCGCTGGCATTCCGCTCATATTTACTCATCTAGGATGTAAGTCAACTAGCGATCTGGTGTGGCTCATTTGCTGATAGGTATCTGCATCGTCTTCCTAGGCGAGGACCATCTGTTCTCGATTGTATCCCATTCATTATAACACCTTATCAACCTAATTACATGTAGTAATAATCTCGTCTTTGTCGTCGTCGTCGTCTTCGTCTTCGTATTGTTAGAAGCAACATCTGGAATTGATGGAATAAAGGATCATTTAATCCTCATATTGGAGTCGCCCATTGAGTCATGAATAAGCATATAGAATTGCGCCTGTACGGGTTCCAATTCGACATCATACGGTCTAAAGTACTCAGCGATGCCAAAGTTTCCTACAAATATCCGGAGAATATCTGCCTAATACCAGCAACATGGTGTACAAAATGACCTAAGAGGTAACCTCTATGCGCATTCCTCCTCGGTGATGATTGGGTCTTTCAGTAGCTCTGGCGCTGTAATCGCGTTTGGGTGAGGGGAGGAGGACTTTGAAATATACAACTTACAGAAGCGATTGCTCAA